TAAATATCTACATTTGTAAACTTTTGTAAACACTTTGTATGCACCCATCATGCATGTGGTTTGTGTGGTCGTGGTCACATTACGACCTTTCTATGCTCCGCTCGTTTCTCGGCGTAAAATAATGCAAAATGTAGAAGCGCAAGTTTTTTCCGTAAAATTTAATGCCTCACGCTCGTATAGCCATCGATTTTAATTTAATGGCGTTTTACGCCCGCGGCCCATCCGCGATTGCTTTATTGCAATGAAGCGGAAATCGTTTCGAATACACTTTTAATCGGATTCTCTCCACACACACACATTTGACACAAAGAAAAAATCTCTGAAAAGTGACATAAAAATCAAAAAATACTCAAAGAAAAACATAATGCTATAAAATTTAATAAGTCATAAAAATATCAGATTATGCAGTTAAATAAATATTTTTATTACCCGTGCTATCTGCTACCCTTAATAACGTCTCAAACCAGACGAGAGTGGACCGAAACTTCTTTATGTATTAAAGTTTTATTGTCAAAGTTCAATATGAAGACTTGAATATGAAATACTTGTTGTTTATATGCATAAATTCATGAAATTCATGGAATTATAGCCTAGTTATTGGGATAGAAATGATTGAGGTTTAGTTGATGGTGAACCGGGGAAACCCCAATTTAACTTTTGTGGTGGGTCAGCAGAACTTATGAGTAAAGTTGAATACCTTCTATGATGTTGTATGTTCGGACATACGAGTACAATAGAGTAATGTGTGTGCATCGTGCACTATTCGTAAACTTGGGTTATTATTTGTGTGTTATGTGGATTAGAGTTTAATTAAATAAGCTTTCAGCTATGGGTATAGGCTGTAATTATGGAGAAAATTAATATTATTCGGTAGACATCATTTTCCGATAATGGTTGATTATTAGTACTCTACAATTAAATTAATTTGAAAATTTAACTATTTTTGATTTTTATGACTGGATCTATCTATAATATAAAAATGAATTGCAAAATCTGTTGGTAAGCGCATAACTCAACAACGCATATATCAATTGGGCCAATTCTATTTTTAAAATGTTCGTTAAATCCCAAGGATGGTTTTACGGCGAGAAAATTTGAATAATTGCCGGGAAAACTCTAAAACAGACCTTTTCTATAGGATCAAAGTTGGTATTGAGATTCAATCATAGTTATAGTTAAATAGGTGAATCCGAGATGGCGCGCTGAAGTGCATTATTAGCTATTCTTTATATAATCGATTTCTTTGAAATGAAATTGCGAATCTTATTTATAAAATTGACACATACTATGTCTAAAACAAGAGAGTAAAAGCAAATTACATTTTTATTAAACACTACCGGGACAAAGTCGCGGGCAAAAGCTAGTAACAAATATAATTCACAGATACCTTACGAGTAAGCTTTTTGTTTTTTTAAATTGTTTGAAAAAACGCGTTGAATTCTTTATTTTGCTTATAATTTTGCCGCAATTTTTACAATTTTAGAATAACCAGCTTATTTTTTGTTTAGTATTTATTTTCTCTCAATGAAACCACAAAAAGAGCTCTGAAACTATTTTAACTTTAAAAAATGCAGTTTTTGCTATATTTGCAAATCCGGCTTTAATAGACAGATAAAAGCAATAAAATTCGATTTTCCGCCAATTTAATGGCTATTTAAACTTATTGCGGCCTGCAATGAAATTTTTAAAAAAGAAAAAAAAAACTATTCTTTTTATATAAACCACTAAAATCAAAAAAAAAAAAATCAAAAAATGTAAATAAATTTTAAATATTTTAATTTTTAAATTTAAAATTTGAATATGATAATAATCATTATCAATATATAAATAATCATATTTTGATATGGATATCTATCTAAGTATTTAATACAAGTAATAAAATTTATTGTTATAGTCAATATTATTATAGGCCATAAATTTATAAAATATTTATCAGTTTAATGCAAATATTTGATCGCATGTATTTGATAAAATATCAAAACACAATAGAATGATTGTCTGTTGGTCGTAGCATATTAATTTGCTGTAACCCTCCGCGGCACCTGCCTTATCAACAAAAGACAACAACAAAGCATTAATATTCCGTAACACACCGATGTGGTTGGCGATGCTGCGCTGTGTAGAATTTCATTAATTTCAGGTTGACTCGACTCACAAATCTCATCTTGATATAATCAAAATCAAACGCTTAGATTATTATGATTATGCCACCCGTGCTCGCAAATTATACAGCATTCGCACTAATTAATTCATCTGCCATAAAATCACAAATCGGTTTAAATATATGATTTCCCACGATCGATCGATCGATTGTTTTATCTTTAGTAATTTATAACAAGTTCTGGGCATGTTTTGGCGTAATTTACATTTTCATATTAGTAATCAATTTGTTATATTATAAATTGGTATTAATGATGAACGTCTATTTCTTGTACTAATGGTGAAAATAACTATGTTCGGTATTTGTACGGCAAGTCAAGCAATGCGTTTTTATGTAATTTGCGTATAATACTAGCAAAACAAAATAAATTATGAAAAAAATTTGAAGTGAATAAGTAAAAGTAACTAAAGTCAAACAAAAAAGTAACAATATAATTTTTTTCGGTTTACGTGTAAATCATTAAATCTACTTTGATGGAATTTGATATAAACATTGATGGGTTCTTAGAACAGAAGACGGCCTACGGGTAAAAAAGAGGACGGGTTAAAAAATTGGTATAAAGAGTTAATTATAGTCATACTTAAATAATTGAATCCGAGATGGCGCTAAAGTGAATTATTTACATTTTTATTTCTTTACCATAAAATGGCATATCTATAACATAAATACATATTATTTTCTATTTTCACCTTGAAAGTATTGTTTTCTTGGCTTTGAGACAAAAAAAAATGTTATTTTAATCACGGACGTTGGCGATTAATCTTGGGATCGTGGCTAAAGTACATTAGTCACGGGTTTTAGTCACGGTTAGTCACAAGTTCATATTATTCAATTTTAATCCTGATTTTTTAGGGTGAAAATTTAAACAATTTAACAAAAACACTACCAAATTTCCACTAATTGAATACACATGAAAGTTTTCAAGTACAAATACATAATGTGCATGCAATTATAACACAATTAAAAAGATTCCCCAACATCCGAATGAATTTCGCTCCCTTGCACATAGTGAGTACATTGCGATTACAAGTGAGTTTTAATTATGTTCCTATGTGCTCCAACAGAGAGAGAGCATCAAACTAAGCATACGTGCAATTTTTATTGTTGCACTGCGCCAACATCACCAGCAAGCAATTGAAAGTTTAATGCATAATTTAATTACTACAAGTAATTAAAACTTAGAATCCACTCAAAATTATATTAAATTGAATAATATAGTTATTCATTAATGTGAAACACTTTGTATCTTAATTATAATTCCAAAATATTGCTTTGAATAGGTAGGTACTTGTTATTATCCCAAACAGAAATATTTCATGTTTGCCGCTCGTTAGTCAATTACACCACACCAACCCGAATCCATCCCCAGTTGAAGTTGTTGTGTACTGTGTTTATTAAATATGCGAAAAGCCGAGCTGGCGTTTTTTTTTTTTTTCATTTCACTCCCACAGCGCCACGCCGGCAAAACGGCAAAACCTCTCGGGATTAAACAAAGTGCACGCTCGTTCAGCGTGCGGATATTTATTAATATGCAAATAATCTGCCACAGCATAAAATGCAACAGCGTGATAGTGATGTGTTGATTTGGGATTTTAACGAGAATCAACACTGACATGTTTTCGCCATGACTTTGATTCGAAAACTATAGGCAACCTTATATACATACCTAATACAATGAATTACACTATACACATGTATACGTATTGTTGGTTGCCTATAGTATGGTATTCTCTACGTTTGAGAGTGTATGGCAGCGTGTAAATAAAACAAGTGTTCATTAACGTTCGCCGCTCGTCTCCACAGCGATACACACGCTGTTTAACGACGTCTCGTTAACGAGATTTTTTCTGCTTGTGTTTCCTCGAGGGCGAGCATTTGCGTTTCTTGTTGTGGTGGTGGTGGTCTATGCGGGATGAAATGTAAATATCTTAGCGGTGCGTTGCAATTTGCGCTGGGAAATGGCCAATTACGTTTGCATTTCGACAATAATGTCCGAGTGTAATTAAAAACGAACTCATTCAAGAGGCTTTAATTTTTCAAGATGAAATTTTACAACAAAAAGCACTCAAGGTAATTATTATTATTCTAATTGATAATAAAACGTTAAAAATTCAAATTTTTAGGTTAGGATATCATTACACAAGATCAAAGCATAAAAAGTGAGGTTAGTTTAGTTTAAAAGGTAAAATCAACCGGTTTTATGTGCCGGAAAAGTTCCTGGGTACAAGTTTCACTTAAACAAGACCGAAAAGGAAGCAAACGCATCCATGAACCAAACGGAAGCACCTCGAGTGTGTTCAACATGTGGAGGATGTGAATGTGCAAATATCCAGTTGTCGTTTCCGTCAGTCATTCCTATTGTACTTTCAGTACACTAAATTCCCTATATGCTAAAGTGCTAAAATACTTACCAAAGTCAATTAAATACCTTCTATTGTTTTACTTGTAGATGCGTTGGTGTGACTGCGCATGCGCATAATAAAATGCTAAATGGTAAACGCAAATGATTCAATTTAAATTGATTTAATAATATAGGCACCGCGCGCCTCGTATTGCGGCAATATTGAGAAAATTGCTATTCGCATTCATAAATTGAGCATAATTTGAAACTTGTCGTAAAATGAACTCGACGCGAGCGAATAAAAAGCGTGCCTAACGTCCCGCTCGAATTTAATGATTCCCCGAATGGGAAACTATGACGACCAGTGAAATAAGTGATTTTACATTTCATTGATCATATAAAACAAAGCAGAAGATGAAAATGAAGAAGTATTATATTACTATTAATATAGGCAACCAAATATACACATTAAAATATACTAGGTAGTTGTATAGAATTGAATATTGGTGTAAATGTAATTTGTATGATTATGTGTATAGAATATTCCTCCTCTCTCGTGTGATGGTATAGTGTACATCGGCAGCTCGCGCTTCGATTCCAATCAATCTCAATTATTGCCGCTGCCATTTCGACGGACGTCCAACTAGGTTAGGCTTTAATTGATAACATAATCAACGCATTGATTTTCGATATCACGTTAAGCGGAAACCTAATTGCGCGATTACGGCGGTACTGCGCAACGCGAAATTAATTGCCAGCGCTTGCCGGGCTTACGCTGCGAGTGGATGTGTACTATATTACGGGATTGCAGATGGCGGGGCTTGATACAACAAACATTTAGACAATGTATTGTATTATTGTTTGAGGACGGTTAATCATACGGTGTACTAAGAGCCGAGTAGGTTTACAGTATGTTCATTGGTATGATACTTGTATGATGGTGTTTGGTGTTTGGGGTTCTGTGGGATTCAAGATTCAAGATGGACGCTTGTGCAACAAGCAATGAAATCTAATTAGAGAATTACATTCGACTAATATTATTGTATTGCGGTTTTAATATAGGTATCACTTAAAATGTAATTTGTTTTTACTCTTTTGTTTTAGACATAGTATGTGTCAATTCTATCAATAAGATTCGCAATTTTATTTTAATTAAATCACTACATAGTATAAAGTAAAGTCGCTTTTTTTTCCGGTCCCTTTGTTCGCTTAAATATTTGAAACTACGCAACGGATTTTGATGCCGTTTTTTTTAATAGATAGAGTGATTCAAGAGGAAGGTTTGTATGTATAATAACATCCATTAAATAGTGGAGAAGTACTGTTATTTTTGAGGTTTCTAATGTGATGTCGTAAATACAAAGTTTTCGATTATTCCCGTCTGCTCTTTGTGCGATGCTTCGTAGCTTCCTCCAAGCATATACGTGTGTATGTGTGTATGTGTGGGTTGAAGTTGACCGGTTGATGTTTTTGTTTGGAGAAGGAAAGTCGCTTTCTCTGTCTGTCTCTTTGTATGCTTAAATCATTGAAACTACGCAACGGATTTTGATGCGGTTTTAACTTCCGTGCGAAGCCGGGGCAGGTCGCTAGTTAATTATATAAAGAATAGCTAATTAATGCACTTCAGCGCGCGCGCCACTAAAACTATGATTCAATTTCAATGCCAACTTTTATCCTATAGAAAAGGCTGTCTTTAGGGTTTTCCCGGCAATTATTCGAATTTTTCTCGCTGTAAAACCATCCTTGGACTTTAACAAACATTTTAAAAAGAATTGGCCAAATTGGTCGAGGCGTTGTTGAGTTATGCGCTTACCAACAGATTTTGCCATTCATTTTTTTATTATAGAGAATTAATAATTTCAATCATGAATATTATCATCCATATTGACGTTATTGTAGAAAATGCATTCGCAGCACGCTGTTCTGTAACATTTGATTACATGCACAAATCGTAATTGCGCAGGTGTAACCGCACCTGCCACAAACAGATATTTATGTAAACCGAATCCAATTGACATTTGTAATTACAATTTCTTGGATGTCATCGGCGCCTGTTGCCACCCTATCGCAATTTCGCAATGCAAAAACGTCGAAACAATGAAGAGTGACATAATAATCTCATTTTTTCTTTACTCTTTTCCTCTTTTTTTTAGCTGCTGGTGAACAGCTCCACCGTATTCCCACCGGAGGAGGATGGGTTCGAGCCGAACACGCTGGGGGATCCTAGCCATGTCACCATGATGTCAATATTATTAGTCGGTAAGTTTATTTTACACCTTTTAGTATTAAATTATTGAAAATACATTTGTAAATGCAATTAAATAATAAATTAATAAGGAAAAACTTGAAAAAAAATTAATAATTAATTTTAGCAGACATTTTTTCATGAAAGGAATAAAAGTGAGCAAAAATTACGTCAAAAATTACCAGGTGAAGCTAAGAATTAGCTTTAAAAATAGCTTTTTCTTCAAAAAATAATAATTTAAATATATACCAAGGAAAAAATAATTTTTTACAAAAGTTTCAAAAAAATTTATAAATCTAAGAATAACAAAAATTAATGAGTATAAAATCCATGCAAATGCCCAATTGTGATGATTAATTTTTTGCTAAATGTAGGAGTATAAAATTGAATATTTTTAGGGTATAAGCGTAAATTGTTGCGTTAAACGCAGCGCATTCCCATTTTTAGGCCGCCAAACATCTGTTATTTAATTATCATGGTCTTTTTGGGTTGTAAGCCGGCCGTATCGTGCGTCGCGACGTGCCAGAAGGCCGGTTTGCGGCTTTTAAGCTCGGGTAGCAGGATTAACGATGTTGGATGTTAGATGCTGGTCCTTTATTTCGCTGTATTTATAACACTGAAAGCTAAGTCTTAATGTCAATGTTGATTGGAAAAACCAAATACAAGAAAAAAGTTTATATCTTTAAAAAACTTTGAAATAAACTTGATGATAAAAGAATATTCCGTTATTTTTGGAGTAGTTTTTCATAAAAAAGAATAAAATTGAAACATTTTTGTCATTTTCCGGTTGAAAATGTTCATGTTTGTGTTTTGCGTTTTTGGAAATCCAATAATTTGATTGACATATTGGTTACAATTAGTAAACAATCTGCGGTATGAAATTTTAGCATTTTTTAGTTTTTTTTTTATTCATAAATTTTGCACAAAACAATGCAACAGGTTTTTATCCCTACTAATATTATAAATGCAAAAGTCCTGATGTTTGTTACACTTTCACGCAAAAACTACTTAACCGATCATCATGGAAATTTGTACACATATTCTACACATATTCTTAGTGGTTCCGGAATGGTTATATTATCTTTATTATAAAATAAAGAAATTGTTTAACCAATAATACCTCTGCATCTGGCTATTTGACTACTTTAACGCCATCTAGCATTCCAACAATGAAGCTCAAACCTAAGTACTATAGTACCATCACACTGTATTATCACACTGTATTACCGACAGCTACGTCAACATCAAATTCAATTGACTACACTATGGAGACTGTACACTATATACTTCCATATACTTTCAGCCATTTTAAACCTCCGCCATTCTACTTCATTGTTACTTCTTCTGTGACTACAGACGCGTACGGAAGCAACTTCATTATTTTAGATATTCGCGAGCGAAGCCGCGTGTTAGCTAATAACTTTATAATTCTCAAATCATGTTTTACATTTTAGTCAAATTAGGGGAATATTTATAGATTTTGTCCTAAAAATGTGTAAAAATGTAAATTTTCTACAAAAAAATCTAATTTTCTAACAAACTTTCTGAAATTTTGTCATATTTTTCATTATGCATCGTTTTTCATCTATGAAAGTGAAACTAGACCAATCATGTTATATTTAAATGTTAAAATATAACACTACACGCTGAACAATAGACGAGAATAATTACATTTTTTTGATATTATCGTGATTTTGAATAAAATATTTTTCATTTAAAATTCAAACTATTTTATGACTTCAGAAATAAAATTTTCGCAAAAAAAGCGCACTATTCAAATATTCACATTCCACTCACATTTTTCTTCGTTTTATTCTAGATTTCTTTCTTTTTCTTTTTCTTAACATATTCTAAACTGAATTGTAGAAACTTGTCGACTATTGCATGGAATCCTCGATGCGTTTTACTCGTACTCTGCTCGAAGTGATTTATTCAAAACATCCGATTTCCCACAAAACCAACCGATACACTCTCCACTATCGGGCAGCAATTCTTCGCCATCTTCGCCGCGTGTGTCTCGAGCACGTCCTTCCGAAAATAAACACACATTTTCGCGATTTACAACATCGTAAAACGCTTCTCATCTCGGATCATAGAGCAAACACACTTGTTACACGATTCCACGATTTCCGCCCCCATTGTCGGCATACATTTTGAATACACACCCAGTCTGCGCCGTGTACACAGGCGACGTTTGTTCACATCTCGATTGAAAATTTACGACTCACGTGCTCTGGACGCCCGACCAAATAAAGAATGTATTACCCTCAACTGCAATACGAGCGAAATAAAAATAAAAAACATTTCAAACTCGTATAGCATTTAAAGCTTAATATAAAAATTCCTTCGCTTTGATCCGCCGCATTTTCTCATACATATTTAATTAAATTTTTCATTAGATTAAATTAAATCCAAAACAAATACAAACTTTTTTTGTATCAACCAATCTTACCTACAATTTTGTTTTAATTTTGCAGGAATATTTCTATCCGTGTTAATCTTCCTGTCGGTGGCCGGTAACATCCTCGTATGTGTCGCCATCTACACAGACCGAGGCCTGCGCCGCATCGGCAATTTATTCTTAGCCTCGCTGGCGATCGCCGACCTGTTCGTCGCGTCGCTGGTGATGACGTTCGCCGGCGTTAACGATCTGCTAGGATACTGGATATTCGGCGCTGAGTTTTGCGACACGTGGGTCGCCTTCGATGTGATGTGCTCGACAGCGTCAATACTCAACTTGTGTGCGATCTCATTGGATCGATATATTCACATTAAGGATCCTTTAAGGTAAATATTATTCTGTTTTTGAATTCGCCCAGTATAAGTACATGCATGCTGAAATGTAGGTTATGTATGAATAGGAAAGATAATATTATTTGATTTCTGCATTGAATTCATGGGAAAAATTGCATTTTGTTGATATAGTATCAATGGAGGATGATTTTTAGATGTTATGACTTGTATTTTTATGATTTTTAAGGTTATGATAGTTATTCTGGTGATAGAAATGTAAATTTCTAGTTTTTTGTTTGTTTATGACGCTTTTACTCAAAAACTATTTAAGTAATTTTGATAAATTTTGATATGAAGGTAGTTTTGATCAAGGAGGAGCTAATAGGATACTTTTTGTCACAAAAATGTAACTTGAAAGCTCTAAAATTAAGAATTAAGGTTATTTTTGACATACTATTAGTATTAGTTACTTAATTCACACCCAGATGGCGCTGGTATGCAATACTTGCATTTCCTATTACTTTAGACTAAAATTTCCAATCTTTTTGGATGACTTGGCAGAAAATATATCTGAAAAACAAAAAAGTTATTATTACCTATTAATTTAGCACCCTATATATTTAGGTACCTTTCTTGTTAATTCCAAAATTGTGAAATGATGAATGTGTAAATTCCACAACTCGCCACTTGACAACGAATTGACTATGAATAATAACCGCCCATCGGATGTGTTTACCCCAAATATGATGAACGCACCGAATGCAGAATATAATTTCATTCCAATTGTGGATTAAACTTGGCCGTGATAACTTTGCGGTGTGGACTTGTTGAAGCGTCGAACCGCGCGAGCGCACAATGACGCGCTTCACATTAATCCCCGAATTCAGCGTGCGGTGCTGCGTTTTGCGAAATTGACACCAATTAGCCGGCAAACTTCTAATTACTTTCGACAATTCAATTTACAAATGATGAATTCGTTAGTATATGAATTCCTCGCTTGAAGCTAATCAAAATCACACACAATCGTGTGCTTCGTGTGTTCGTCCTGCAGGCGTAATCCGCTCTCATTGTAAAGTTTGCTTCTATTGTTGAACAGGTACGGTAGATGGGTGACGAGACGCGTCGCCGTTGGCTCCATTGCGACGATCTGGCTGGCATCGGCGCTGATTTCGTTCGTGCCGATTTCGCTCGGCTTGCATCGACCGCCACAACCGACCGTTTACCACGCCGGCGGGCAGAACTATCCCACTTGCGCCCTGGACTTGACGCCGACCTACGCTGTCGTCTCCAGTTGCATCTCCTTCTATGTACCTTGCATCGTCATGTTAGGTAAGCACACACATACAAACACTCAACTAAAACTATACTTACTTAATTAATAAGTTTTAATTGTCAGCACACAATATTTGCTCGAGTTTCACAAATAATGTCGAATCACTCTTAGGTTATACTAAACTGTGAATTCAATTTTGGTGTATATTGGGTTGCCTATTGTTAAGGTTATGTGTGTTTAGGAATCTACTGTCGGTTGTACTGCTACGCACAGAAGCACGTGAAGAATATTCGTGCAATCACGCGCCCTATTGAAATCCCACCCGGAACCAGCCGAAGGAAAACGATGAAATTGAAGAAAGCGAATAAAGCTCTGCATATTCATCTGCACAGTCATCACAGCTCGCCGTATCACGTGAGCGATCACAAGGCGGCCATTACTGTCGGTATAATCATGGGCGTGTTTCTTATTTGCTGGGTGCCGTTCTTTTGCATTAACATTGTCGCTGCTTTCTGCAAAACATGCATCCCAGACATAACCTTCAAGATACTCACGTGGCTCGGCTATTCCAATTCAGCATTCAATCCAATCATCTACTCCATCTTCAACACTGAATTTCGTGAGGCGTTCAAACGCATTTTAACTACGCATTATCCCGACTGGTGTCGCTGCGGGTATCAGTCTGTGTCACTGAAGACCAACGACAAGTTCATCACCGACTACGGCACGAAAACCGTCATTGTCAATACGCGTCGCAATGGCTCCTTTGGCGAATTCTCCAGTGAACATCTGAGTGCTGAATCAGTACGGCAGACGCGCGTGAATTCAGCGGAAAAGGACCTCAACGAGGACGTCAGCGCTATTTGACAGGATGGCGGCGACTTTAACGACACTATGGTTTAAATACAAAAACTGCAAAACTTTGGCGTGAGGTATTTAGAAACAAACAAATTTTAAACGGGCTGTGCGTTAAACACGTTAACATAAGTTATTTAATCTCCATCTGCAGCTGGAACTGCGTTTTAAACTATAGAGTTTATTGTGTCGCGTGGTTTTTTGAATGGTGTGCATGACTTATTGCTCAACTTTAAGCTCTCTCATAAATTCATCGTGCGCAAGCTGTAGAAGTGCGCAGTAAGGACAATTTATTGCGACTTGATATATACGTTTATAGCTTGTTCATTGACGATATGATATGTTATATTTTATTCTCCTTATCGTGTTACTACTTTTATTGCGGATGTTAAGTTTGATGTTTTATTCAAAGATAATTTGTTTAGAAATTTTATCTTTTGACATAAACATGGTTAGAATATTTAAAATAATGTTGAAAACAGAATATTTAAATTAATTTTTATTTTTTTATGTAAATTTTGTTTTTGAACATTTTAATTTAATTTTCTCTTTAAATTTCCACAAAAGAGTTAATTACTTTTGTATTTTTTGTAGAATATTCCACATTTTATTTAAATTTACACTGTTTTCAATTAAAAACGAAATCAATTCCACGCAATCATCTAATGACAAAATGACAATTGCGAAGCTTAAACAAACAGCAATTTAAATTATTATTTTGTGTTCACATTCGCAGTGAGAGCGCTCGACGCGCTTCAATTGCCCGTTAACTCTGCAACAATATTCATTCATTAATTATACAGCGAATTATACCTATATACAGTAGATGCAGTCATTATCGGACGGGGATGTCGGGGTATAAATCACTCGATCATGGAACGAATGCAAATTGTTTATCGAAATTAAATTTCCGTTTGTGCACGGCGTTATTGCGCAGTTACATCGTTTTTGTCATAGTCATTTGCTTCATTATACAAATGGGAATAATTTCACACTATCATAACAAAAGGAAATGTAATATCACTGTTATTAACAGGAACTTTCATAACTAGCTGTCCGGGTTAATTAATCACTTGATTTTATTAAGTTATGGTACAAAATATTTAAAAAAAACATGTGCGCATGCGCAAGAATTATGACATTTTCTAACTGAACTGTCAAAAAATTTGACAGAATTTGTACATGTCAAATGACATAACCATTTTTTTCATCTTTTTAAATTTTTTTCTAAATTTTTTTCAATTTTTTGTTATTTTAAGCAAAGATAAATCAAATTTAGACGTTATTTTATTAAATTTTATGCCTAATACAGCATATCATAACATATCAATACACCACAGTCACTAACCTCAAAAATTTTACTTCATATTTTATTAATTTGTATAAAATAATCGCAAATGTAAATAACGACCATTGTAAATATTTACTCATATACATAAAAAATGTTAGCTCTATTTGATGGAACGACTAAGAAAAAGAATCACAGGGTTTACTTACGAAAACATAAATTAATATGAAACCAAATAACGATGCTGTCAATGTAAATATAAACTAAATCATAAAACACTAATCAAATAGCTGCAAACGTTGTATTGATTGGCATACTTACTAGCAATTAAGAACAATCAAATGTTACATATCTGAAAAGTCTATAATCCAATGAAGTCCGTACTTTAAGTTCAACGCTGACCTAGATGCAGAAGAACAATGTTTAAACTAATGTAAATGTTAATTTTTTTAACTTATTGACCGTGTATGAGCGTGAATGCAACCACTATTTGTATTTGTATATAAATGTTCATTGTGTAAGAGATATAGCAAAATATTTGACATGTTTTTTCACTTGTTGAGCGTTAAGTTTCTAAGTTTTAACATCATTTCGTATTTATTGTGTACATATACTTCAGATTAGAGTCTATTCTTTATAAATATGTGTGATAACTAACCAATGTGTATATTAACATGAAATTACTTAAAAGAAATAACAACTGGTACGTGTGTTGAGGTGCGATGGATAGAAAATGTACTAAAATTATAAAATTATGAATGTTTTATACCCTCCAAAGCAAAGACAAACAAAAACAAATTATGATATAATATTATAAGACAGAAAACTATTGAATGTCAAAGCGTAGATGTAAATATGATACAATGATGATGCAATAAAGAAAAACATGTAAATTTTATTCGTTTTTTAGTTATTTGTGTGTTTGGTATACACAAGAGTGGGAGGTTATTTGGTGTATATTTGGTTGCCTATACAAATCGTGTTGTATTTTCTAGAAGTTGTCACTCCGGGTCATGTTTTATCTTTTTTAGCGTAAAATACAATAAAAACAACATAAAAATAGTGTAAAGTTGTATACAACGTTTAATAATAGTGGTAAGTTTAATGTTCTATATAATTTATCGCTGTAATTTAATAATTTGATTGATTTTAGTTGAAAAATACGTTTCTCTAACATAACCTCAATGTTTCATACAACCGATGCGTGAGTTGGTAAAAAAGGTGAGTTTTTCCTTTGTATCTTTTTATTTTATTTAATGGAAACACAATAAAATGGATTTATTTTCCATTCTACATCGCTAATATCTCATTCACGCTCTTGATAACATCTTAAAATGCGCCGACAAGAAAAGCGATTTAAACGATTTCTCGCCTATCGCGCCTCATCTCGCCGCTAAATTCTTCAAAGTCGTAATTTTCGCTCTCCTCACCCCACTGCACAGTTACACGCAGTTACATCTCCTTCACCAGCTTCGCCTCGTTGATTTCCGTCGTCACCTTCGGCTTTTTTTCCTTGTTACCCTTGACTTTCGTGCGTTTCGCCGGCGGGATTTCGGCGTCGACGACGATGCGCTTGAAGAGCACGCCGGAATCAGACGCAAGTTGTCGCGATTGAACGCTGGCATCGCGCCAGGACAATTTCGTTACGTGCGCCCAGCGCCGCGCGCCGCTCTCGATATTAATTCGATTTAATAAATTCGCTGCGATGTTCGGCACGATGGGTTGCAGGACGATGCCGCACACGCGCAGCGTCTCGAGTGCTACGTGCAGCACGGCGTTGAGCTCGCGGCGTCGCTCCGTTGACTTTTTCAATTCCCACGGCTTCAGCGTCTCGAAGAACAGATTGGCGCAATGAAGAGTCGCTATTGTCGCGTCCACAACTTTATAGAAATTGTGTTCGGTGTAATGTTTCTCAGCCAATTCTAAACATCAACACCAAAATACAAAATAAAAAAAATAAAATTTTTACTTTTAAAATTATTTGATTTGTAATGTAGTGTAGCGTGACACTTGACACTTTACATAAGAAAACTAGATTCGGAGAGATAAATTTGAAATCGATTGCGTACCTGGCAGCTGAGCGACAGACGCCATGAGTCGCTGCGTCACGTCCAAGGCGGAAATTATCCTGAGGGCTTCAGGCTCGAGGGCCGGAAACACTTGCTCCGGATTGAGCGCCACGCCGCAGCACCGACTCAATAGGTTGCCGAGCGTGTCCGCCAATTCGGAATTTAATATTCGCAGCGCCTTCGTTTCACTGTAATCTGAACAAACAGCATTCAATTAACATAAATTGGATTACAATTAAATACATATAAGATATTAGTATAGGTGGCGCTGGTAACACTTTCATAACCTAGTTACTACTGAAGTGTTAGTTACTACACTTATAACTCATGAACGGCTGGATAGATTTTGATGATTTAAGATTTTTTGGACTCGTCTGCATCCCGAATAAGAGAATAACTATTAAAATATTAAAAATTGTTAGTAAAAAAGTGTTAAATACGAGATTAAAATTTGAATTGAGATTTTATCATAGTTATAGTTGAATAATCTTATTGATGAAATCGACACATAAAACTTTTTTTTACTAAAAACTACTTTTAAATAAAATATAAAAATCATACTTCCGTCACTGTGAGCTACACCTTCACGTAGCAGAAAGTACCGAAATCCATCCGGCGTGTAAGTCGTGCTCCGGTCGATTGGGCAGACGACGTTGCCCTTCGACTTGGACATCTTCTCACCGTCGACGGTCCAATGCGAATGGCAGAGTATCGAACGCGGCGGCTCCACATCCGCTGCCATTAGAAACGCAGGCCAGTAAATCCCGTGAAATCTGCGCGAAATAAAAATATAAAATATACACTTCCAAAGCCGATCTTTTTCTCTCCCAGCTCGTCCAGAAAATAAAACCAAGAAAAAATTGAAACTAAATTTCATATAAATGTAAATGATATCAATTTGCGATGCAGGCCAAAGCCGAAACTTGAGCGCGCTTACTACAATACATGCAATAAAATTGTAAATTTAATAATATACAGGCTGTTGATGCGGCTTCCGGGTGCGCGAAGGGAGTTTATTTTCCGGTCACCAAACTGGGTGCGCGTTTTCAATTAAACTTCCAGGCCTCCGCCAGCATTGCATTAACTATAACTGTCATTTGGACCAGATGTTTATTAAAAATTAATTTGTAGATATATTTTGGAATTTTAATGATTTAAAATTAATATTTTGAATTTTTTCACACGAATTTTGGTGAAATATAAAATGTGAATTTGAGTGTGTTTTTGTATAGTTTGTTTCTGTTTTCACGCAAAAACAACTTCTAGAATCCAATTTTGATACATTTTAGTTTAGAAATATTTTATTGAGGAAAAAGCAAATAGGCCACTTTTGCTGCAAAAATATAAACTAGCGTAAAATAAGTGCATGAAAGCTAAAAAATGGCTTAATCCATGACCAGTATTTCTAGAAAATGCATCATTAAATATCATTTAATCGAATAAATTTATGATTTTAATGTTCTTGGATAATTTTGGTAATACTTTGAAACATGAATCTATAATTTAAAAAAGGAATCGCAAAATCGGTACGCGTATTAAATCTACAACGCCTTGATCAATTTGGCCACCCTTTTTAAAATGTTCCGTTAAACTAAGGATGGTTTTATTTATGAGAAAAATTCCACATCACTCAGGTACAGGAAAATTTAAAAGACAGCCCTTTCACAAGAAAAAAGTTGTTAAATAAAATCTAACCGCAAGTTATAGTTGAATATGTTGTATTTAACTGAGATAGCAAGCGCTGACGCAATAATATTAGCACTCTTTATTTAATTAATTTCTGCTAAAATAGTACCTGCGAATCTTATTGGATAGAATTGACATATACCTACAGTCTTAGAACAAGAGAGTAAAACGATTTTATACTTTTAGTTCAAATACTACCGGGACGAAGTCGCGGGCTAAAGCTAGTACGAAAATATATAAAACATAAAAATGATATAAAAATTAACTTGGCAAAATATTAACTTTTTGATTAAACTAGAATTAAATTGAATTTCTCATGCAATCATAAACTTAATCTTTTAAACCTTAATCACATTAAAACAATTACAAAACAAAAATACTTCCTGCCTATTATATTTTCTCAATAATTGACTCCTAAACGACCCAGCAGCAATAACGAAGAGACCATAAAACGTCGCGAGATTTACGAGCCGCGCTGCCGTTTAATTAAGCAGTATCCTCGTTAGACGCGCCGACCCAACAGCAAACTCGTAATTATTGAGTTAGCACTGCTGCTACTCTGTTATTATACGCATATATACCACTTTGGTATACTGGAATAACACTACCAGCAAAGTTAAAAAGTCCACACATTGCGAAACAGTGCTTATCACAATGATAAAACAAACAAATAAACAAATCTGTTATTTAGTAGCGTGCTATCAAGCCTGTTAGGAATATGGCGTTAGTTTTGGCGGAGAAATTTCAAAGTAAGTTTTGTATAAGACCCAAAAGTCCTCGAAAGTCCTCTCCTCGTGGTATTCCGATGTGAAAACACAAGCAAAATTAACTTATGCGACCACAACGCACAACTTGAACTTCGACTTCGTATGTAATTAAACATTAAACGCAAACTAAACAATTTATAACTCACGCATACATAAGATACGAGTAAAATAATATACTCTTTAGAAGCCTATTATTAACCAATGTCTCTTGAGTTAAATTAAATAATAATTTGTTAAAGTAAACATAAAATACTAAAACAGATTGAAAACATGAATAATTCGTGTTTTAAGCGGCTGCTCTTGACGCTTGTGAAAATTTAGTGCCCATCCCTTCACCACCCTCCTCAATAAATCATAATCTCTATAATTTTTTCTTCTCCGCTTGCGTTTTTCTTTTGGCGGTGAGAATTCGTGTACGTACTTTAAAATATCCTTGCCGATGACGTGCAGGTCGGCGGGCCAGTGGCGTGTGTACTCGGGGTGCGGATAGCCGGTGGCGGTTAAATAATTCACCAGTGCATCCAGCCAGACGTAAACGGTCTGCGTATCGTCTTCGGGCACTTTCACGCCCCAGTGGACGCGCGCCGTCGGCCGCGAGATCGACACGTCCGGCACTCCTTCGTCCATCATGTCCAGCAAGATTTTTTGGAATTTTTTCGGTCTGATTGTGTCATCTGTTAGGAGATAAATTATTTAAAATTAGGTGGAGTAGTTTTTTCCTTGCATTTAACATTAAAAAACAAAATTTTAATTTTGAAGTTTGTATTGTTTGAGTTTCTGTATATGTATAAAGCATATTTACTAAGTTATAGAGCTTTTCATGAAGGGAATAAATTAGGCAACTAAAAATACATTGCAAAACTTTTCAATTTGACCACCAGAGGGCTACAAACGTCAAAATGTGGCAGAAACTCTTTATTTTCATGATAAAACGCTTAAGTAAATAACTATATTAGATTGACGTTTAATTTTAACCTTTTTAATGTATTGTGAATTCAAAATACTATATTAACTACTTTAGTAACAGCCGTGCTTAAAGTATCATTTTTGTGCCTCAAAACCGTGATAAATGGCATTTTAAAGACGCAAGTAGAAAAAATACTAATATTGCATCAAAAAATCCCCAAAAACATTACAAATCCAAAAATACTTCTTAATAAAAGTTAAAATTTTTAAATATTTGCCTGAAATTAAAAATAACTTGACTTGACGTTCATTATTGATTTTTTATCATTGTGAAGCCCGGAATAAAACTTATTTAATCCGAAACACTCGAAACTAATAACAAAATGTCAAAGATAATATAACAGCAGCGTATTGCCCGAGGTGTGCCAAGTTGAAACGTTGAAAGTTGCAAAAAAGTTAGCCACCACTTTGCCATTTTCTTCGACAGCGCGCAAGACGCTGCAAATGAACGCGAAAGAAGGCGCACGTACCTTTCAGAATCCACTGTTTGACTTGATCGGCTAATTTGCTTAATCCGAACATGTAATTCTGCTCCTCGGTCCATTCGACTGGATGTCCGCTCTCGGCCGAAACTTTTATCATTTCGCCGGTGCGAGCGGCGGGTGCTTCTTTGAGCTGCGAGTCTGTCAGGAAAGTTTCGTCCGAGACGCAGTACCAGCCGGCGTATTTCGACGAGTAGACGTGACCATTATCTCGGATCGCCCGCTTCGAGAACAAATTTGCTTAGTTTTATTTTTTGGCGGAGAGAAAATATAATGACGTCATGTTCAATGTTCAATTTATTGTCTCCGGGTGATGTAAGAGATTAGAATTAAATTTTAAGTAGAGAGAGGCGAGAATAATGGTACTCGTGGTGGAGTAAAGTTGTCGAAATAAGAAGTGTTCAAAGTTTATGTGCATCGGTTTGGTCCTTCTGCGTCGTATGCCTTGGAGATACCACAGGCCACATTGCACGTACTTCAATCTACTTTCGTGGCACTTTATCAGAGTTGTTTCTAGTTTTCGAGGAGTAGTCCTTTTACAATCTTAGTCGAGTTAAAATATTATGTAGTTAAAAGTTGGCATCTGTTGCATGTTAATATGAGTTTCTACTTTTGGTAAAGAGGAAACATTTATTTGAAAAGTTTTTTTTAAATCTGTGAATATACTTAGTAATTTGCTCAAAAACACGATCATGATATTTATTAGTAATAGGAAAAATTATCTAATTAAATGAAACTTAATTGCCAAATGAATAAAAGGGCATAATTTGACGCTATAAATGAGTAACTGATGAACAAAAGCGAGAGAAAGAAAAAATTGATTTACAGTTGATTTCGGGAAATTTCAGGCACAACTGAGCTCTGTGCGCACAGAGCGCTTGCATTTTAAAGCGATGTTTAACCAGCAAAAAGTGGTGGGGGTAAAAAACGTAAAAACGCAAGCTGCTGGCCCGTAACACCTAAAAGTGCGTTTGTAACAACGAAAATTGTTACAAAAACACAAACATGGGCTAAGTTCTTAATTTTAAGGGTATTTTATTTGTTTGGTGAAAGTTTTTTCTCCGTAATGAATTTTATTGCACCCCTGGGTAAATTTACACGAAATAGTTTTTTCCAAAATTGACAAACCTCGTGAAAACCCCAACATTCAAATCCCCACAGGAGCAATTTAAAAATTTATGCCCCAATGATTTTTCTCCACCTCATTTCCCAATACAAATATTGCAAACCACACATGCTCCATCCTTGCACGACTCCGGGGAATTGTTTGCTTCGACCGCACTGCGCCATTCCCACTAAACGTAAATTAGTTTTGAAAATACACACGAGTACAAAGGAAAAACCACGCAAACTATTTGTTAAAAGTTGATTACTTTCATCAACACCACTCCGAATAACAGTAAGAATACATCATCACTCTGAATAGAATTTTTGTCCATTGTGAACAATTTGCCCCCCAATTGTTTATTTAGGCAATTTTCGTAAGCCTACACACCACACATTCCACCCTCTGGCGATAGGCATCGCAAGTGATTCCGGTTAAATTTAAACGATCCACTTAATTTAATAGCATGATCATGAGAGTGCAATGTGTGCGCCCTCTCGAAGGGACCACAAACGGAATAATTCGCCGAACGGATGGCGCGCACTTCAATCCTTAGTTAATCTTTTCCGGCATTCAAGCCGGTTTAATTACATCATCAAATGTTTCATCAAATTAAATATGTATTACTCACCCAGAAGTGTTGTACAGCCTGTTCATGTGCAGCATCAGTCGTACGAATAAAATCCGTACAATTGACGCTGAATACCTTTGCGAGTTCGCGATATTTATCGGAGATATTCGCGCAGTAAGTTTCCAGCGGTGTGTTGTGTTGTGCGGCGGCTTGTTGGATTTTTGTGCCGTGTTCATCAGTACCGGTGGCGAGTTTGTAATTTTCATGCTTTCCGTACAGCTGCTGCCATCTGCAGGCGGTGTCAGCGATGACGGAACTATATAAGTGGCCAATGTGTGGCGCTGCAATCGTAACACATCGAATCTCGCACTAGAAAATATTTATGCAAGCACTTACATGAATTTACGTAGTAAATGGGTGTTGTAACATAGTAACTTGTTTTTAAATGCTTCAAATTTGACTTGGCGGATTGTATCCAGTGGAGTTTCATTTTTATTTTATGTTTTATTCACTAAAAACTATTGGAAATAGAAGTGGTGGAGGTTAGGCGGTCACTGTTTTTTAAACTGTCAGAGAAGTTTAACCTGCAAATATTGTGATTATTAACGTTGTAAACCTATGCAGAGTGTTTGATTAGAAGAACTTTGAAGATGTTTAATCAAAATGACGCCGAAAAGAAGTTGGATTGGATGTATAAAGGTGCTAATAGTCTGGTGGATCGCGAGGAATATTTACTAGGGCGTACAGTTGATAAGTCATTGGAACAATTGAATGCTGAAGAGAAACAAAAGCAGTTGGGTACAGCTGCTCCTCCAAAAATCATGTGGAACATGAGTGTATTCCGCCGTCGATTCGTGATTATAAACTACAACAACAATTGGCTGAACAGGTTGATCTACAAGCTAAGTTACAGGAAGATCCACTTCTGACAATCAAGAAAAAAGAAGAGGAAACTAGAAGGCAGTTTTTGCAGAATCCTGTGCAGTTGAAAAAATTACAGAAAGCATTGAGTAAACAGGAGAAAAGTCCAAAAGAAGAAGAAGGAATATCTGGATGAGATTCTCATTCAGAAGTTGAAATTATTACAACAGAATAATGATGATTTGGATGACAATGTAATTGATAAAAAAGCTAAAAAGGAAAAAGATTTAGACATTATATTGATGCATAAGTTTAATGCTTTGAAGAGTAAGTTAACTGAAGAAGATTTAAGGGATATTATGGATGGTAAATTGACTGATTCTGATAGTGATGAATCAAGTGATGAAGATGATTCTGATGAACATGTTAGAAACAAAAAGAAAATTAAAGAAAATAAAATCAGAAATGAGAAGAAAGTCAAGAAAAAGAAGAAGAAAACAAAGAAAGAATCTTCTTCTGATTCTTCAAGTAGCAGCAGTTCTGAAGAGGATAAGAAACACAAAAAGAAGAAGAAGAATAAAAAGAAAAGGAAAAAGGAATCTGATTCAGAATCAGATAGTAGTGATTCCGATTCTTCTTCTGATTCAGATGATAAAAGAAAGAATAAATATAAAAACAAAAAGAAAAGTGAAAAGAAAAAGATGAAACATAGAAGAAATCATTCTGAATCAGATTCAGATTCTGATAGCAGTTCAGAAGATGATAAAAGAAAGAAGAAATCAACAAGTAAAAGACATGATGCTAAAAATAACAGTAGACAACGTTCAAGATCTCCAAGAAGAAGTCAAAAAGATAAAAATAAAAAGAACTACGACTCAGATAATGACAATAAACATGCTCACAGGAAACGTGAAGAACAAAACCGTTCAAAATCAAGAAAAGACGATGACAGAAAAGAAAAACATCGTAGGGATAAAGAAAATGAGTCCCGCTCTAGAAATAA